TCAATAAAAATTATGTTAAAAAAATAAGATAGAGTCATTGGGAAAGTTACTCAACATCGACCTCTGACCTATAGCCACACTCACACATGTGCACACAAAATCACACAGACATATACACATCAAATGGTGAATTTCCATCAACTCCTAGATGACAAGTTGGTGTTATGTTTTACTTTCTATGTATCATAAAACCAAAATATGTTTTTGTTTTATCCCACAATCTTTATTAGAAAAAGAAATTTCCTCCAATCTTCAGGAACCCATTTAGTAGAGTCGTCAGGTGATATTTCCAACCAGCATAAAATGATTTAATTTTTTTTGTATGCAGGGCAAACAGTAATCTTACAACCTGATTTTTGTTACTAAATATACGATTCATTTGGGAACACAATGCTCCCGAAGAGGCTCACAAGTGCGTCCCTGGAGCCTGTGTTACACTGTACTGAGATAGGGTCTCAGACATCTCAGGCTGGCCTCAGATTTGCTGTGGTCGACCCTGAGCTTCCGATGCTCCTGCCTCTACCCCTCAAGTTCTGTGATTCCAAAGAAGTGCCACCATCCCTGGTTTATGTGATGCAGGGGGATCACACAGAGGGCTTCATGCATGCTAGGCAAGCATGCTACCAATGGAGGCACACCCCAGCCTTGGAAGTGAGATCCCTTAGGGTCCTCTGAGAGAATGACACCTGACCACAGAAGCCCCCAGAAAGAGAAGTCAGAGAGCTATCATGGAGAGGTGACTCAGGGCGGCTTGCAGTGAGCACATAGGGAACTGACCATCAGCTGACCAGTAGATTCAACTGCAGCCAATGGGAACAACCCCTCAGCAAGCAGCTGGCATAGTCCTGCACCCACCAGCTGCTGAATTCTGCTGACACCTCCACTGATGGAGCTACCGGGCTCTAGGAAAGACCAGGAGGTGGATTCCACTCCGGAGCAGTGCAGCCTGTCAGCTCAGGGAGACCCACATCAGCTTTGGCCCTTGGAAGTGAGCTGAAACCTTCGAGCTGTTCTAGCCCACTGTGTCTGTAGAAATCTACTCTCACCATGAGAGACAAGTAAGTGTGATTTCCTGTATGGTGAAGGCCAGGGGCTGAGAAATGCAATCTATTTGTCAAATAAAATAATCTTTTCAATGCAAACACTGAGAACAGTGCGTCTTCTTCCTCCTTACAGAGAAATGGGCACATTCAGGTTTGTGATGTGCTCCCGGATTCAAACAAATCAGCTTTGTCAAAGAATGTTTCCTACTAATGAAAGTATATGAATGAGCTTCTACCTGCAAAAATTTTAAACTTGACTTCATGTAGTATTTGCTTACAGAAGCCAAAACAGAGCTGAGATATTCCCAGCTTCTCCAGGCTTGAGGGCTTCCTGTGCAGCAGCCTTTCTGCCCCCCTCCCAGGAAAGGGGTCAATTCACTGATGGATATTTATTTTAATCTCAGTGACTTTCTGCTCTGGTCATAGGCTAATTAGCATAGATGTCATGGGGTTCATATATGCACAGGAATAAGTAGAAGAGGAAGAAAAAGGTGCATGTGTCTGTAGAAAGGACCCTCTCTGCATCTCCCGGGACCAGGTGTGACTCAATGATGTGGGTGACTGAAGCTACTGTCTATGAGTCAAGGGCATCGCTGAACTCGGAGCTTGTTTCGTGGACTCAAGGAAGCTGAAGCCACGTTTCCTTCTCAGTGTTCAACTGTGGGGTTCAATCTGTGGGTGTGAGTCCTGGGTGCAGCCTACCCAGTCCTGACCCCAGCCTGCCCAGTCCTGACCCCAGCCTGCCCAGTCCTGACCCCAGCCTGCCCAGTCCTGACCCCAGCCTGCCCAGTCCTGACCCCAGCCTACCCAGTCCTAACCCCCAAACCTTGCTGTTTGCAGTGATTCTGAGAGAGTGGAAGACAGTCTCCTCATAGAAG